ATTTTAAGAACAATCTACTTCACATACAGTCAATGTTATATTGACATTAAACCATATATTTTCAGCGAAAGGGTTATTCCGTACAAAATTAGAAAACCTTTTTAAGAATTCACATATTCACATACAGGCAATATTATATTGAAATTAAACCATGTCTTTTCAACAAAAGGGTTATTCTGTACAAAAAAATACTTCTTTACTTCTTCTTTCGCTTCCATTTTAAAATAATCATATAATACTTGAAGTATTAAGACCATCCTTTGCTTAAAAAGTTTACACACAGAAACATTCTCCTTTTTCTCTTTTTCCACATTCCTTCTTTTCCAAATGATCAATCTTGCAACTGTTAACATCATATTTAAAAAACAAGCATTTTTGGCTTCACCTTTAAAACCAAACAAAAATGTTGTTTCCCAATTCACATCAACAGTTGTTTCTTCAACCCCCAAATTTTTCACCATTTCTTTCAATTTTTTTATAAAACATTTCAACCTCACACATTTAAAAAATAAATGTAATATTCCTTCTTCTTCTCTATAACATACTTTGCACATTGCATCTTGTGCTATACCAATCTTACACAGTCTCATTTCACTCAGCAAACAATTATGTCTTAACAAGTAATCAAAATTCTCTAAAATAGGACTTTTCCACCATGATCTTAAATTTTGCCATATTATCTTTGTTTCCATATTGGGATATAATCTCTGCCAATAGTCTTCTGCTCTTGGTTTAATGAAAACATCTTTACATAAAGAATGATAAAAACACCTTAACTTTAGATCATTAAAAGCATGTTGTTTGTTATTTATTTTAACACTAACCACCATTCTGTCATTTATCATCATTTCTGTATTCCCTTGTACAATTTGTATCCATTTTTTTGGTATTATCTCTTTTAACTTTTCATATTGATCTTCTAGGACTGCTTTACTTTCTTCTTTATAATTTTCTTCAGTTGCATCACTTATCACTTGTATCGGTAAATAAACAGGTATAACTTCATACATAATATCTTTAATTTGTCTTATCCCTGCATTATACCATTTTTTATTAAAAAAAATAGTTTGTTCTCCCCTTTTAAGTAAGTTGTTTAAAAACAGTGGTTGTCTTAAAATGTCATCTTTATTCAATGATGTACAAACAACATACTTGCTATAATCCCCCCATGCTTTTAAGACTTCTTTATAGTATTCTGGAATTCTATTCATCATATTTTCCTTTAGTTTCATCCATAAAATAGCATCTCCTATGTTACCACACTGGTTTAAATAAAAAGTCATTACATCTTTCCAACCATATTTTTCATCTTTCTAATATTTTTTTTATTATTTTTATTCGTATGCTTTTCATTCTTATTAATGGGTCTAATAGTCCCAGTCCTCCTTCTTCAAATTTCCCAATTATAGTATTATATGCAATTTTCGACGGTTTGTCTTCCCATAAAAATTTTTAAATGAGAGATTTAATTTTTTTAAACACCCATAATGGCATGCTCACTGCTCCTAAAACATACCACATTTTTGATAAAAACAAAGAGTTTATTAC